TCTCCCTATGGAATATGAGGGCTTCATTCTGTTTACCATCTCTGACTTCCAGCTCAGGGGGCTGGGTACCTGAAGAACAACTGGACTGAGGTAAAGAAGGTATTAAGTACCTCAGCCCTTTCCTCATCCTTTGTCACTATTCTTCCCCCCACATCCAATAAAAGATGGAGATTCTCCTTAGCCCTCTTTTTGCTGTTAATAGTGTTTATAGAAACATTTTTATTGTCTTTTATGCAAGTACCCGGATTAAGTTCTAGTTGGGCTTTGGCCCTTCTCATTTTCTCCCTGCATAAAATCATGACAGCTTTGTACTCCCCCTGGGTACGTTAGCCTCTCATTAATGATATGCTTCACAGTTATGCTTTTTATCTGTAGTAAGTTTCTGCCTACTGAAATGTGTTGTCACAGGCATTTTATCCATTTTGCTCTTTCAGATTCACCAACTTCCAGGTGCAGGACTCCTTCACCACTAGTTCAATGGTTTTTCGGCTGGTCCAGCACATCAGCCGTATAAGTATTTCTATTACTAGAGCTGTTGAATGGCTAAGGCATGTTGAGGAACGGACCTAGTAGTCAATAGCTCCCAGCAGCCATGGGGTACCAATCCACTCTGGCCTGTCTCCCCACTCCATGGCTGTGTCCTCAGTGTTGCTCTTCCACCTCTCTTGGCCACCTTCTCCCAGCTGCGCCTTGTTCCCAGAGGCTCCTCAGAAATTGGCCACCTCCTCCTTTCCCCTCCAGAAACCCTCTTGTTAGTTGGAGAAATACCAAAGGGAGGAAGACAAAAAGCCATTTACCAATAAATGCCAGTGTTTAGGAAATAACTTCTGCCTAAGCAAACACCATTGTTTACTGCATGTGCTTAATATTCTCACCCTCTTCCTCCTTTATTCAAGAGATTTTCTTCTCCATTAGAAATTAGCAGATAAGAGCAAAGAAACAGCTGTAATTATTGCAGTGAGCCTTCCTTAGCTTAGTTTGTAATAAGTGCAACTAAATACACACATACACACACTAGGGCTCAAGTGTTATCAATCTCCAAAGGACAGAAAGGAAAGCTTCATGATGGTACTTACTCAGAACCATGAAATTTAGTTATTACTTGCTCCTGAAATAGTGGCAAATACCACGAAACCAAGAACCCAAAAGTTACAGCATATAAGAAATGCTTAAACCAAACCTAAACACAAAGCTAAGCAAAAAATGTTGCAACAAAATACAACTTAAAGTTCCCTTACACTATGAGCTTCCAGCAAAGTTGATCGTTGTATCACCCCAAACAAATCTTGTGGCTAAAAAAAGATGCATCTTGCTCACAATTCAACTTAACTGATGACAACATAGCATCTTATTTACAAGAAAAGCGGGAATGCCTGAATGACCATGTGCTGGTTAATCCCATTTTTAAAATCTGTACTGTAGAATGGTAATAACATCAGTAAAGCAGACTAAGAATCATCTGACCAATGGATCTCAAAACAAAGTAACAAAAGGCAAATGACTGCTGATTGCAAAGGCTCCTAGCTGGATTTATGGAGTGTTATCAGGTATATTTACTCACAAGTAAATACAAACTCACTGAAAAAGAAGTTTGCAGACAGACAAAGGTTCGTAAGAGTGGCAAATGGGTAAAGCAAATACCACAAAAAATAATTCTGATAGTCTCCAGTTGTGACGTATCTTTGGAAACCGATGCTAACACGAATCAAACAAGCTCTGGAGAGTCAACTAAACATATTGGGAAAATATCTGTGGAAAATATGTTGATTTCGAAGTTTATCTAAATACAGGAAAAGTTGAGATTTCACCTTTTTCTCTGAAGATAACTGTATACATACCCTGAGCAAAAATTAAAATTTTGATTCAATACTTAAACATCAAAACATACTTTTGTTGTGAGAAATATAAACACATGTAGCTTATAAAGTTTAGAAAATGCTTGTTAAGCATGACTAATTGTGTCAAATGTAGAAAAGGCACGTAGAAAAGAAACTATGAAAAACCCCAGAAGTTGCAATGAGAAAATGGTAATACATGTTGATTTAATCTGCAAGTTTTAATTTAAAAAGAAAATGTCCTGCAACTTTAGTTACAAATACTATACTGAATAACAACCCCAAACACTTGCTAAAAAGCTTTGGAAGATATCAGGAAAGTCCTAAGTAAAGCCAATGGCAGTGGAAGGCAACAAAAATTAAACCTGGAAATACAGCACAGTGGACTTAAAAAAAAAAAAATCCCAATCCAAGTAAAACAAAAACCAAGTATGAAAACAAGTGGTGAATTGCTCTGGCTCATGACATCGCTTTTCAAGAATGAACACTCCGGTGAATTAGCTTTTAGATTCAGCACAGATGCAACTTCATGCAATTTTCTATCCTGAGATACCAATATGGTCACTTGAAATGACTGGGATTTTTTGGCATTAAAATCTATCCACTTCAGGACTGGCTTTTTTCAAACTTTTCAGCTTTCTGAACTATCACTAGAGGTGCATTTTTGCTGGTTTACTAGGAATACTACAGAGCAGGAATCTTTACTTAGTACCTGTTCACCTGGGTATTTTGAAGAATAGTTCTCTTGCCACTTAATTTTACAAAAGCAATTAAAAGAAACAAAGCAATTCTTCCTACCTAAAAGTCAACCCATCCCGTTCTGCTTTCTAAGAGACCTTTCAGATACAGCCTGAGTAAAACGAAGGTTTTAGCAGGTGCAGGAACATTTAACACTGCTTTTGCAGGACCAAAGGATTGTCAAAGAAGAAAATCTCAGGAGTTACAGAATCTTTAATACAAAGGATAGTCTAGGGACATGTTTATAAAGTGACTTTCATTTGGCAAAATTATAAAGAGAATGTCAGCCTAAGGAAACTCAGCTAAATTAAACTAATCCAAACCAGCTAAATGAATTTATCGTATGATTGAAATAAAAAGATGTATACAAAAATCTCTAAATACTATTTACCTTCCAAAAATGGTTTTACTGTGTAACAACTTACCTTTTAAAAACTTTTTCCAGTCTACATTCAAAATTTTGACACAGTATGTAATAATTTGGAACCATTTTTAAAAGCCATTATGTAACCAAGTAATTTCTGCCTGTGTAAGACACCATCACAAGTTAATGTGAAGGAAGTACTTTCACAAAACCAGAGCTACTTCATCCAGTAAAAGAGTAGTTCTTAAGACTGACATGGAGGAAAAAACATCCCACTTAGCTTCTCAGTGACATATACCTGCAGTACTGGACTGACAGTGTCGATTACTTACATTTTTTACATCAATCATCTGAAAAAAATAGAGTTTACTAAGTGTAATTTTTTTAACGTTAACTATTTAAAACATACAATGAGAGTTTGAGTGCCTTATCATACCTTTGAGATAGAGAGACATGGATAAATCAGGTGAACTCAAATTTTAGTTACCTGAGGTTTCAACTCCTTAAAAAGTTACACTATCACACTTTCGCCTTGGCTCAAACAGCAAACCTAGGATAAGAAATGTAATTTGGTTTATCCCTTATATTTTGAGTGTGTGTGGGTTCCTCTTAGAACTAGCTGGTTTCATTGTTTTGGATTCTAATGACAAGGTCTTGTAAATCAGGAAAATTAAAGAGATTGAAATTGAACAATGCAAAGCTAATTAGTATTGCCTTAATGCACGTCGTACTTGGACTACTACAGTATATCCAGCCATCACATTATGTTTAAAGCACAGAGTTCTATCAAAATACATGAAACAGCAACAGAAGAGCATACACAGGATGCATGTGTATCAGTGGGGTCTGGAAAGATCTAGCCAGCACTAGTCCATCTGTTCTCAGTTGTGTGACCATAAAATCAGGTTGCACTGTGAGAACATCTAAGGAAGACTGTTTCCCTATGTATTCATCTCCTATTCATCTTCATATGTGCCATATTCCAACCTAGCCATAAGCCCTTCACATCCCCTACGGTCACCACAGACACCTGGAATGGCCCTTCAGATAACCCTCTCTCACATCTACCTGTACAGACCCTGTCTTTGTCCCCTCTTGCTAGAAGTGGTTCATACTCCAGCCACTGCTCCATGACTTGTGTGCTCAAAGGCTTACTGGAGAAATCGCACAGACTGCTGGGCTCAACTAACACCTCCCCAAGAGGCAGGACATTCATTTGGAGTTTTCTGCTCCTCTGCTTAGCTTTAAGTTTTTAAAGACTTTCCTGAGACCTTTAGCACTGCTCAGACAGATGGAAATACACCTCATTACCTCAAACCAGGCTAAAAAGATTTATTTCTAGACTTCTCTGAGACAAACCGTATCAGAAAGTACCACAGTGAAAGCCACTGAAAATATCAAACTTGCAAACCATATGAAAGATATTTATGTGGTTTAATGTGAAAACATAAACTGTGTCCAGAGAATGGCTTAAAATCATCTGCTGCTTCAGTAATACTGGGGTTAACCTATATTTCTATGGTTGAAACCCTTAAGTCTATTGGGTTAAATACAGTAGTATTGCTTCCTTCTAGATGTATTCAAAATGTCAATACTGTGATCCTTTGACAGGAACGCTAAGAAAAATAATGCAGACTTTTAAAAAATAATTTTATGATGAGCTGCATGCTATTTTACACCTTCCTTCAAGGTTTTGCTCCAGGTACAACTATAAAAGAGTTGTGGCTCTCTCTTTTTTCTTTTCTCAAGAAAAAGCATCAGTTGTCAGAAAAAAAGTGTGACATTTGAAAGGCACAGACTCAAAAGAAAAAGGCTTACATAAATCATGTTTAGATTTCACAATGCTTATTACAAGCATAATTTTGGAGGGCTCACTCCTGGTAATTAATTACTTGATGCCAGCAGTATGTAAGAAAACCTGTTAACCTTAAAGCTGTACACATCTTCTATTTTAATGCTTTGAGCTTCACATTCTGCTTCAGCCCTCTTCTTTGCCTGACCTGCAGCTACATTTACATTATCCAAAATACAGTGCACTGACAGTAGTACAAACACCTACTTACAGGAATCATCCAGTTGGCCAGGTCACCATACTTAGACACCTGCATTGCTCCAAGCATTGTCAAATCAACATGGCCTCTGGAAACAGAAAGTGTGTAATTAGCACATCATATTCAAGTAACATCTTAACAAGCTTTTGTTCACATTCTCATTACATCAATATAAAAACGGTGGCATACCACAGAGTAGCAACCATTTTGTCACACATGTAGTTGTTTTTTTCCCCCTGTAGATGTATTGCTGATGCGTATTTTCCTGTCTGCCTACTGAGCCTCAAAAATGTTATTACTTCTGTCTGGTTTTGGTTAATTGCATGCACAGTCAATCAGCTCTAAACTCATACTTTTAAGTGCACTCCTTCACATATTTACATGCACTCATTATCTTTTCAGAGCCATTAGGATTTAGTGTTTGTTTGCAACCAACCTCCCTCCAGAAAAACAAACAAAAAACAGGTGCAGATGGTGAATTTCCATTAGGGAGGTGGAATGAGGATCACAGTTGCAAGCTGAGCAAAAAGAATATACAGAGTGCAAGTACAGATTAGATACCTGGAAATGACCAAAAAGTAGTTGTTAAAACATAGTTATAAATGTGTTTATATATAGCCAGGTGGTGGTAGACAGGAACATCACTATGGTATCTATTAGGTACAGTGTTTTTCTATTTCCAATAGCTAGACCTAATCCTCTGTAAACCATCAGTGATTTAAGTCCATGATCATTTCACAGGTTGCTAAATGCTTACCACATTTCAAAGAACTACTAATGAGTTCAGTCCCTGACTCAGTTTATTCTTTTCATGTTTGAAAAGATCAGGGTTTGTGTGGTTACGTACCCTCTTATCATTGCAAATGATTCATCGCTAGAGAAATAGGAAGAACCTGGAAGAACGGTGACTGTCTCCTTACCTGTAAAAGAAATAAGCTATAGCATGTATCTTCTCTCTTTGACAAATGAAGTCACAGCTATTAACCAAGAAATAAGGGGCTTTTTAATCAAATTCCTTTGGATTCTGTACAACTGTGGATCTGATTATGTGACCTACTACATCACATCAACCTAATCAATCATAATGAATTGTGAAGCAATTTGTTACAATTTTTAATGATAAAACTGTAGGCTCTTTGACCACCAGCAGCTCCAGGCAAGACAACATTGACACTAGAGGCTAAGAAATCTCTGTGGACTTCCAGCTTTCTGCTCTACCCACAGAAAAAGTGAGAGGTCACTCTCTTTTGAAACAAAGAAAGAACATCTTCAGGAGACAAGGAAGAGTGAGCAGACCAGATCAAACAATTTAGAGTGATAATGATGTAGACAACAGAAAATAAATGGCAGACCTAAAATCTTCTATTGCTTTATTAAAGTGCACAAGAAAAGGTGCTTCCCTGTACTGGACTGTTCTCTGCACAGTGCTTGAGTTAAGCAATGGAGCACACATGGAAGCTTCTTGATGCGGTCTGAAGCACTCCTGCCAGCCCTTTGAATCAGCCTAAGCAACAATCATGTGCCTCTGCAAAGGCATAAGAAACCCATCTAAAGGTGAAATTATAAACCAAGCATAGGAAACTTGAGAGAAAAAAACACACTGATGTTGTGAAGAAAAAGTGTAACAACAAAGGGGAAGAGGAATGAGTCACTTTCCAGAAAACAGGGAAAAAGAGATTAGGTTAACTAAGAGGAGGGGGAAAGGGAAGGAAACACTGTAGAAAGGTTAAAATAGAGACCTAAGTTACCTGTTTTAATTTACTGAGCTCACTTAACGCATATTATATGCCAAGAGATTATATGGATATTAAATTTTGACACATAAAACAGTACAGAATTAAGGTCATAAAGTGGTCTTGCAGAGCGATCTCAAGAATTCACCATGTTAACATCCAGAACTGCTGAGACTGCCTGAATTAT